AGCTAGCTGTGGTTTTGCTGTTACTGGCTCTTCTGCAAGTTCTTTCCAAGAAAAGTTCCTTCTGCAGGCGGTGAGATCTGTTGCAAGGACACGCCCCTGACGAGTGGCGTTAGTGCAGGTCTCGGGCTCTCCGAAACGTCATTGGTGATCGCAGTGCATTCCTGAGGAGGGGGATCACCATTTATCCACTACTTAATTCTAATTGGTTATTATGGCACCAACATTTTTTTACCTCTTAAACCCATGTATTATTGCGCTTTATGAGCTTTTTATTATGAATTTGGTACATTTACGACATTTATATATTTTTTATGTTACACAGGTGATTATCAGTTATCAATTTTTTATCTAGAGTTTAGAACATATATAGTACCACATTTATTAGACACTTGTATGGTGCGATTATTTTAGTTATGAATACCATTATAAACCAGCGGATTTTTATTGACTTGTTTACTCATAGATCATTAGTTCATCATTTATTAAAAGATGACTAGAGTGTGAGTTTTTATTCCCCCTTTTCCTGAGTTGCTTACTTTTACTCTTCCAACTAAATAGTCTTTGCATTAATTTATGTTTTTTTACCTAAATGACATCATCTTCAATCTGTTTTTACTTTCACATCTCCCAGATCTACGTAACTGGACGGCTCCGTTGGTCACTTTTTGCGATCATAGTGTCGCATAAACAAAAATTTATTCTTTGTGGCTGGTGAGCCCCGACTTTTTCCAATGTACGTCACAATGACAAAACGGACATTAGGCTATCCCGCTGGATGTGGTTACGGCGCTCAATAACCTAATGACTACGCTGACACTCACGCACACGTTCAATCGGAAGCTCCACAATGCACGTCGGATCAGCGCTCGCTGACTATGTGCTCGGATCTGAAATCTCACTTCATAGCACATCATTCCACACCAGCACGGGGCAGTAGCTCTTTTGGTTAAGAGTGATGGCTTGTGGCCTACGGTGACTAATGTGTGCATTCGATCAATTGAAATCCATTCTGTAGGTCTTACGTCTGGCTCTGATGTGCTAGCCCATAAGCGCAAGAAGTGAGTGTGTTTAGCTTTCTATTCACCCGATTTTAATGTGAACGAAGACATAACGAGACCATACTAGACGACCAAACGGTACATACTAATGCACTACACCATTACACCTGTAGACATCAACGGTCTTCAAAATCAGTATATCAAATATTTGTTCTTTGTTACATATGATCTACATACAGAGTGATTAGAGTGTTAGTTTGTTCTCTCCCTGCCTCCGAGCATTTACTTCGTTCTTTACCTTCACAAAAGTCTTATCACTCATTTTATATTCTCATATTATTTTTATTTTATATTCAATGACACCATCTTCTAACTGTTTTTATTATCACATCTCTCAGGTCTACAAAACTGGACGGCTCCGTTGGTCACTTTTTGCGATCATTGTGTCGCATAAACAAAGATTACTATAATTAATAGAGTTTTTAAGTTTCCAACTTTTTCTAAGAAATCTTCGGCAGCTTCTTGCTCTGCAAGTTCAACAACAGCTAGCTGTGGTTTTGCTGTTACTGGCTCTTCTGCAAGTTCAACAACAGCTAGCTGTGGTTTTGCTGTTACTGGCTCTTCTGCAAGTTCAACAACAGCTAGCTGTGGTTTTGCTGTTACTGGCTCTTCTGCAAGTTCAACAACAGCTAGCTGTGGTTTTGCTGTTACTGGCTCTTCTGCAAGTTCAACAACAGCTAGCTGTGGTTTTGCTGTTACTGGCTCTTCTGCAAGTTCAACAACAGCTAGCTGTGGTTTTGCTGTTACTGGCTCTTCTGCAAGTTCAACAACAGCTAGCTGTGGTTTTGCTGTTACTGGCTCTTCTGCAAGTTCAACAACAGCTAGCTGTGGTTTTGCTGTTACTGGCTCTTCTGCAAGTTCAACAACAGCTAGCTGTGGTTTTGCTGTTACTGGCTCTTCTGCAAGTTCAACAACAGCTAGCTGTGGTTTTGCTGTTACTGGCTCTTCTGCAAGTTCAACAACAGCTAGCTGTGGTTTTGCTGTTACTGGCTCTTCTGTCTGGTTAATGTTAGTAGTTTTGCTGTTGTGTTTTCTTTTTTTCAGTTGCCTAATCTGTTTTATTTTGCTAATTGGAGCACCAATTACTTCTGCTATCTTCATTATATGACTTAGATCCTCCTTGTCACTCACAATTACATCAGTTGTTGACAGCAGCATTTTTCTCTTTTATTTTATGTTCTTTTTTTTAAGGAGGATTACCACTCTGAACAACAGTGAACTACCTCCTTTTTATTCCTTTATAGTATAAACCATAATACACAGGGTCTTATTAACACAATAAAACTGAAGCTATTAATGTGTTTTTTTCTGTAATATTAGATATAATAATTTTGGAATTAGCAAATAAAACGGCATAAAAAATTAAAATTTAAGGAAGTTAAAAAAATTCAACTTTATTTAATTTTATTTTTTCTAACATTTGTCTAATGGACTTTGTTTCTTGTTTTATGCTGACTATACAATAAATACTAATTATAAACTTAATTTTGTTTTATTAAATAGATACACAAAAAAATATAATATATTTTAATTTTAAATACTATTATAAAAAAATTCAAAAGAAAGGCCAAATCACTTTTTTTCCAGGCCTCAAAATAATAGTTGAACAACTTTTTCTTTTTTTTTTCAACATCTTCACTTTCAACATGGCTGCAAGCAACCACTATTAGAGTTGAAAGTTACTGTAAGAAAAATGAAGAAATTTATAGAGCAAAATAATGATTAACAGACAACTTAAAAAATTGCAAATTATAGGAATCAGGAAAACAAAAGGAAGGAAGCGAATTCCAAAGGACTGATGTTCGAGGTAACAAACTAGACAAATAAGAACTTTTGGAGTACTTAGGAAAAGTTAGGGTAAAAGGATGACACTTAATTGAATGATGAGTAACACAAGAATGGACTTTAGTAGATAGCACAAGAGACACTAGCTCTTTAGAGCAGCACCCATTAAAGTTTCTATGAAGGAAAGAGAAGCAACAATACAACTATGTGATAATGGCTGCAAGAGCAGGTCAAACTATGTTTACTATGTGTTTTTGCATTTTGTCTAGAAGAGGAAGGGCATCATTAGAAGACCCGCCCCTGATATGGCAACAGTATTCCATACAAGGACGGATTTAAGACTTATAGAGATAAAGAATAGAATTCTGAGTAAGAAAGTTTTTAAGCATGATAAAGATATACAACCTTAACAGATGCTAATTATGCAATCAATTTGATATACGGTTTCCAAGAAATATCAGAAGTAAGAATTAATCCTAGAAGATGAAGAGTAGATGACTCATTGAGTATATTACCGTTCATAAATATAGAAAGATCTAGATTATTGTGATAATAATTAGCTGAAAAAAATTAAGCTTTATCTGAGTTAAACTTTACCAGCCACTGAGAGCTATCTAATTGAATCTATATTGATGATAAGAAAGTAAGTTATTAGATTCAAGATGAAACATTAATTGTTTGTTAATTAAAGACCTAAAAACCATGTTTATGATAATAAGAAGACTAATGGAGCGGTAGTTAGATGAGTCAGATCACTCTCCAGAATTTTTGAAAATAAAGATAACAGATGTCACTTTACAGCAGGCTAGAAAACAAGAATCTGATAACCACTAGTTAAATAGTTTTGAAAGTATAGACAACAGCTCCGGAAAACACTTCTGCAAGACTATAACAGGTATGCTGTCCGGACCACAAGCTGTAGAAGAGTCTAAGCAAGAAATCACTTTAGATACAGAAACTAGAGTGATACGAAGGTAATGCAAAGGATTAACTTATCAGCTATACCAGGTAGAATACAATTAGTGAAATCAAGAAATGATATTGATGAGAAATTCTTAGCAAACAACTCAGCTTTAGGTGAGGTGACAAAATCTGAACCATACAAGAGAGGTGGAATAACAGATTTGAGCTTGTTATAGATACTGTTAAAGATTCTCTAGAAGTTATGAGAGCATAATAATGAGATGAAATACAAGATTTCATGACCTAAAAATTGCAGGCTTTGGCATAAGACAAAATCTTTTTACAATGGTTTCTAGCAGTAGTAAGCAGACGTCTGTTTTCTGGAGAACTGTTTTGCTGATAGATATGAAAGTAATGGTTATGATTGGAAATTACAGCAGCACAATGAGATGAAAACCAAAAAGAAGAGTGAGGCTTGACTTGGAATCATTAAATAGAAATAAAAGATTCCAAGATTTCCAGGAAAAGATTCATACCAGCCTGAATCCAAGAAGTTACATAAGAAGCACATTTGTTAACAGGAAGACAAAAGATTTCTACCCAATGGCCATCACAAAGAAAATCAGGGAAAGAGTCTCAGACAGCTTTAAGGTAGTTGTAAGAGGTACGACAGTAGAGGAATTCTAGTCAAAAATATAGCCATAGGTCTTATATATACTTATTTTTACTTTTAAAGTATTTTTTTTTTAATTAACAAATTCATAATGTATATTCCTTAAGCCCATATTACTCTGATTTCAAAAAACTAAAAACTTATTTTAACAAACTTATTTTAGCAAACTAAAAATTTAGTCAACTAATTTCAGCAAACTAAAAATTTAGTCAACTAATATTTTAATTTAACTTATAGTTAACTTTAACTCCCATCATTAATAAAGGTGAAAATAATAATATACAAACATAAAATATATTAGGAAACATTCTCTATGTTAAACAATTTTAATGTTAAAATCTCACAATCAAATATGTAACAAAAATGTATAAAAAAATCTCAGGTTTGTTAAAATGATATAAATTAGTAATAAATTAAGTTTTTAACATAGTAATAACCAATACCATGCTACCATTTTAAACATATAAATTGTTACTTGTATGTTGAGTTGTGTATATGATATTGTTGATATTGTTGTTAACTACTATATTCATATAGCAGAAAAAAAAATTCTAAAATGTTAAAATAATAAGAATCCTTACTTGAAAATTGATTAACAACTGTAAAGAATTCGTAAAATGTCAGGAGAATATTTCTGGACTTTTTTTGTTCTGAATTTCTTCTTATCTCAGAATTAGCTGATTCTGTTATTATTTCAATGGAATCAAAACCTTTCCACAATTTTTTGCTTATTGAGTATAAAAAATCAGAGACATTAAAGCGATAACACTGGTTCAGCATTTTGTGTTTTTTATTGTAGTATATATAATAATTCTGAAGATCATATCTTGAACATAAATCAGCATTTAAAACCTGTGAATATGAAAAAATAAATTCAAAAAATTTAAAACATTTGCTTTTTATCAAAACTTACTTTGTCTTTGTAAAATAAAAGATTTCATTAATAAGTTTTATGATAAGACACTATGCCTGGTTTCACTGTCCTACAAGACAAAAAAAAACTGTTCTTTATTCTTTTTTGAAAACAACTTGAGATTGTAACAAATTAGTTAGAGACATGTTGTAATTTGCAGCAGATTATTTCATAGTACAATTACTGTGAATTTGAAAAAAAACTATTATAGAGTCTTGCAAAGCATCGCTTATCACATCTATTCAATCAGATTTGTGGCTCTTCAAAACAACATGTTATTTATAATTTGTAAAGGATACTAAAAGCATGGCTTATAACAAAGGCAAATCAAAAGGTAAATGAAAAGCTTATAAAATATAATAACAAACAAGAAAGTTCTTTTTAAGATGTTTAAATATAGCTCAACAAAGAATATCAGAATAAAATAAACCTAATTTAATTTTAAGTAAACATTAAAAATTAGTAATTAAAATTTTGAATCTTTTAATTTAATTTTTTGAGCCTTTTTAATTCACACTTCTATCATTTAACAAACATTTTTAATTCACACTTCTATCATTTAATTCACACTTCTATCATTTAAATTTTTAATTCACACTTCTATCGTTTAACAAAAATTTTTAATCATTATGAGTACGAATAAAAACTTTCCAATTTACTGATTTTATCAAAAATTATGTAAAATTTTTTTAACAATCAAATAATTTGTAAAAATTCTAACTACCTCTAACTTTATGCTTAATTTTAGCTGCTTATATATTCATAATATATTTTAATTAAGAACTTATTTATAATACCCTTTAGAGTTCAAAGGTGACCAATTAAGATTAATTGTAATAATGCAGCAGTAGACTAGTGGTAGAACTTTTGGATCACAATTAAAAAGTTTCTATTTCAAATTCATTCTGCGCCTAAGGGAGAACATGCTTAACCTGCTTCTCTTCACAGTTAAACCTTTTTAACAAGGTTTGGGATTTGGAGTTGAGGGTAGAAATAGAGTTTCCAATAAAATAAGTTTAATATATATATATATAAATATATATATATATATATATATATATATATATATATATATATATATATATATATATATATATATATATATATATATATATATATATATATATATATATATATATATATAGCTCTTTAGAGCAGCACCCATTATAGTATTTATAGAAAAAAAAAAGAGAAGCAACATTACAATGATGATGTGACAATAATTGAAGGTTGACTGCAAGAGCAGGTCCAACTATGTTCATAATAAGTTTTTGCACCTTGTCTAAAAGAGAAAGGGCAACATTCAAAGATCCGCCTTAGATATAGCAACAGTATTACAACAGTATTTAAGATTTATAAAGATAAAGATTAGAATTCAGAGTTAGAAAGTGGCAAGCACAATAAAGAGATGCAACCTTAGCAGATACTAATTTTGCAATCGATTTGATATATGATTTTCAAGAAACATCGGAATTAAGAGTTTATCCTAGAAGTTGAAGGGTTGATGACTTATCGAGTACATTACGGTTTATAAATATAGGAAAATCTAGATTATTGCGATAATAATTGGCTGAAAAAAAATTGAGATTTATTTGAGTTAGAGTTCATCAGCCACTGAGAGCCACGCTGTAGCAGAAGTGAGATCCTTTTTAAGCTCAAATGCCTCCTCCAAACAATCAGAGAGTGTTGGCTTATCAAGACAAAAAAAATAGTGTAGTAAAACAAAAGGTAGTATCATCAGTGAATAATACAACCTTAGAAATGAGAATTTCAGAAAGATTGATAATATAAATATAAAGGGCCAAGATAGAACCTAGAGGAACCACTTTAGTTACAGAAAATGAAGAAAAGCGCTGTTCGTTAAGGACAACTTTTATACTACAATTGGTAAGGAAGGATTCAATAATCTTAAAGTTGTTACCTGATACACCATAAGAAACAAGTTTATGGAGAAGACCAGCATGCAGCAAGCAAACTTTATTAAAAGCTTTAGAAATGTTGAGAGCGATAGCCCTAACCTCTCCACATCTATTTAATACACTATAAAACCAATCGAATATTAGTGTTAGGAAATCAGCTGTAGAACAAGAAGATCAAATCCATATTGATGATCAGACAGTAAATTACAAGATTTAACATGAAAAATTAAGTGTTTGTTAACTAAAGACTCGAAGACCTTGCTTTTGATGGTAAGAAGACTAATGGAATGGTTGTAAGTAGGGATGAAAATTTCTCAGAAATTTTCATCCCTACTTACAACCATTCCATTAGTCTTCTAGTCGGAAAATTTCCAGAAATTTTGGAAATTTTCAAAAAAATATAAGTTATTTTATAACTAATGAGCAAAATTTTAATATTTGTTTAATTGTTGGACAACTTTATGGTAAAATATTGTAAAGCAGATCATAAAAATTTTATGTCTTTTTTGAAAAACACTTTTTTTGGTATTTAGTCAAGTTTTTATGTTAATTTGTTGTCAAAATTTTTTAAAACTGTTTTATCCTGTTACTTGCTAAGCATATTGATTTTCATTGCCATAGCAAGCTTTGTTTAATGCTAAACATAGATTGCACCACCATCTCTAAAGGGGATAGGGGATTTTATCAATTTCTATTAACTTGGTAAACAAGTTACTGAAAACTATAAAATTATATACAAAAAGACTTGACTATTTTTTCTTGATCAAAAAGACATTGAATAATGAAAAAATTTTTTTTTGCTAAATTTGAACTATTTTAAAATATAGTTAGCAATAAAAATAAAGACCCAATGATTTCAAGGTCATAAATTCCACTGCTATGTTTAAATAAGCGCTTTTAAGACTTGAGTCTCACTAGCCACAACCTTGCTAGGGCACTTTTGACCCTATAAATCAATAAATTAAAAAATTATGCTATACTTTGATTTTAATGTGTATCGTATTTTTCGACCAAAACTGCGAAGTGGGCAATTTGAGTGTACCAACTGGCTTTATAAAAATGAAAAAAAAGGTACTTAAAAAAACTAACTCAAAAAATATCTACTTTTCGTTGTTTCAGAAAATTAATGTAATTAAAAGTAACTTATAACAACTTGATTGATTTTTTGCTTTTTTAAAAAGATGATTCTTAAATTGATCAACTTGATTATAAAAATTTGACTAAAAGATATGTTTTTTTTTTGCTTGTGGCCTTTATTTCATATTTTTTGTTGAAATATTTATAGAATGCATAAATACTATGATGATTAAAAACGCATATTTTTGAAACAAAGAAACAAATTTTACAAAACTATATAATAACTATAAGTTTATTGCAAAAAAATTTTTTTGAAAATTTACATAAATTTTGAGGAAACTTTACTGGAGAAGTAAAGTTACATAAATTTTGAGGAAACTTTACTGGAAACTTTACTTTTGAGGAAACTTGAGAGAGTGGAGAGTGGTCTAAATTGTTAGACAATTTAGACCACTCTCCAAAATTTTTGAAAATTGGGATAACAGATGCCGCCTGCCAGCACGCTAGAACATAAGAATCAAAGAAGTACATATTAAATAGTTTTGAAAGTATAGAAGACAGCTCTGAAGAACACTTCTGCAAGGCTATAACAGGTATGTTGGATGAGTCTAAGCAGGAAATTACTTTGGATACAGAAACTGGAACAATACAAATGTCAAGCAATGGATGTAATTAGTTGAATCAAGAGATTCAACTAATTACAGATTGGATGTAACTAGTTGAATCAAGAGATGAGATTGGTAGGATCAGGTAGGATGTAATTAGTTGAATCAAGAGATGAGATTGATGGAAAGTTTTTAGCAAACAATTCAGCTTTGTCTTAAGGTGAGGTAAAAAAATCTGATCAATTAAAGATTCTCCAGAAGCCTCGGGATCCTAATTTTTGTAATAAAATACGAGATTTCATGACCTAAGAATAGAATTCCTTGGCATTAGATAAAACCTTTTTACAATGGTTTCTAGCAATGGTAAACAGATGTTTGTTATATGGAGAATTTTTTTGGTGATACCGGGCTTCGACAGAAATGGCGTGCGATCGAGCGCTATTGCTAACTTGACCACGATTGTTTATATGTTTTGATGATTTACATTTCAGAAATGCACTGAATATATAAACTCTAAGCTTAATCTGAATATATAAACTCTAAGCTTAACTCTTAGCTAAACTTGAACTAGAAAAAAGTTAAAAAAAAACTAACGAAAAAAATATATAAGCACTAAAATTAAAATAAAAAATAAAAACTCAAAGCGAAACCTTTTGTTACGTTTTTAATTACGTTTAAAATAAATGTTATGTTTTAAAACTTATCTTTTTAAACGTTTTATTAAAGTTAGGCAAAACGCTTTTAAATCAAGTAACAAATTACTGCTAATGATTGTTTAATAAATGTTTAATAAATAAATGAAATTTTATCAAATTTATTAAAAAGTGTTGTGTATAATATTTTTAAATTGTATAAACATTTATTTTCTCAAAAAAGTTGCAAAAAAAAAATTGTTTAAAAAAATAACATAGTTTTTTCAAAATAATAATTTTTAATAATTTCATGCTTAATTAGTAAGTCAAGTTAAAAAAAAAGGTTTTCAACTTTTTTATTTGTAAAAATAGGAAAAAAATAAATAAAATGCACTTGCGATTTAGATAAACTGCCAACAAGCAATTTAATTTAATATTTATTTGAGCATTACTACTTTATTAATAAGCGCTTCACGTAACGAATTTAAAAATTATTATAAATGATTTAAACTTATTCATTGTAGTATCGCGCGATAAAAAAAAACTTTTTTTTTGAAAAAATAAAATATTTGTTTGCTACGATTTTAAAAAATCATAAATTTAATTATAAAAATTAATCGTATGAACATTACAAAATGCCTCAAAACTTTTCCATTAATCAACAAAAGATATGTTTATATAAGTAAATAAAGTTATTTTATATTCTTGTTTAATTCACATAAAATGTGTAAAAGCTAGTAGTCACAAAAGATTTTAAAACTAAATTAAAGTAACTTAAAAAAAAATTAATTCTAAAAATAATGGTTTAAAAGATTTTTAGGAAGACATGGAAAAATAGTTTCAAACATTTAAATTTATCATCAAAAATACATGCCCACATAAAAAAATTTATAAATAACATTTTTTATTAATTTACACATGTGTTTATGTAAACAATCACTATAATTAATTTTATGGTTTTTAAGCCTTCGCGTAAAATAAAAAATCAACGATTAAAAGTTATTCAAAACATAAAACTTTTTTTTTATTGCATTTTTTGTTGTTAAAACACCAAAATAGCCATGGTCAAGTTGTAAAGAAAAAAAAACCTTAGCGTGGCCAGTTACAGAGTGCGATTGCACGCCATTTCTGTCCAAGCCTGTGATAGATATGGAAGTAATGGTTATGATTAAATATTGCAGCAGCATAATGAGAGGAAACCATGGAGAAGAGTGAGACTTGATTTGGAAATGTTGGGAGGAAGTTAAAGACTCCATGCTAGCCTGAATCCAAGAAGTTACTTAAGAAACACAGGTCAGCAGGAAGACAAAAGATTTGTACCCAAGGGCCATCACAAAGAAAATCACGGAAAGAGTCCCATTCAGTTTTAATTTAGTTTTAAGAAGTACATTGATAGGGGGATTCTGATGATGATGAAGAAGAATGAGAAGTTTTAGAGAAATCAAATCATGATCAGAAGCACCTAAATGTGGAGAAACTAAGCACTGACTAGGACCAAAAACAAGAAAAAAAATTTGAAAAGTCTGGAAAAGCAAATTGGAAAGTTGACTACCGTCATGCGGGACTACTTGAGCTACCCGGGTTACTTGAACCCAAAAAAATAAAATATTTATTTGTTTATGTTTTATAAAATTATTTGGTATGAAATAAATAAGTTAATTTTACAATTACTCAAATTAAGTAACATAAAAAATAAAAAAGGGTTAAATTTTTTTGCAACAAGTGATCAAAAAATATTTTATTTAAAGGAAACGACAATAATGGTAAAAATTTAGTGTAAAACTTTTGTCTATCTAGACATAGCCAAAAAATATAAAAATTATTTGACAGCATTTCCTTAAAGAAGTATCAGTTACTACAAAATGTAGCAATTATAATTGTCTTTTAATTTTATTATTTTGATAAAAAGATTATTTTTATGTTTGAAGTTTAAAATTGGGGCTACTTGAACCCAAATTTCTTTGTAGCAGATTATGTTTGAAAATGATTAAATTTATATTTCATTAACATTAAACTCTAAAGTGAAATAATATATTTAAAAGGAGTTGATATATTTGCTATTTTAACCATGTTTTTAATATTTGTTAGGTTATAAAATGTATACCTAAATAATGTTGATGATTGGTTAAAGCTAATGTTATACACCTTTTTGCGTATACTTCATGCTATCAAAACTGGTTCTACCAGAATGGTTCGCAGATTTAAAAGAAAATTAAGATCCTGAGCTAACAAAGACCATACCGTTCAAAACTTAGAGCAAGTCTGTATTAATATTGAACGTGGAGCTATGAGTCAACGATTTGCTGAAGAACAATTTAAATCAGCCGCTCCAGCATTAAGAGAGCGCTTCGAAGACCACGCCTTACTATCACAAAAAACATGCAGGGCATCCAGCTGTCTTCACTCTTGAAGAAGAACAGTCATTTTGTGATCACTTAAATAAAGCTTCAACTTTTGGCTACCCACTGACCTCATTTGATTTTCAAATTATTGTGAAATCCTATCTAGATCAATTAAGGAGTGATGTTTAATGTTTCAATGAAAATCTCTCAGGTGTCAAATTGGTAAAAGCTTTTATTAGAAGACATCATCAGCTATCCAAAAAATTTGCTAGAAACTTCAAAAGGGAAGGGCTTTTTACACTATGGGTTTAAGTAGCTCCACAACAGGGGCTACTTGAATCAATTCTTAACCCACCAAAAAAGAGGGGACAGAAGTCCACCCAAATACTTTTTTCTCTACAATCATCATTACTAATTCATAAGTCCATGAATAAACAACAACAAGTTTTTTTGTCACTAATAATAATGATAATGGCTGAAGGATAAAGAGAAAGGACTTGGTCAATTTGATCAGAAATAACATCAAAAAGAGTGCAATCAATTGAGATGAAGGAGAACAATGTAGAATAAAGAGAAAGGTAATAAAACGAAGTGGTGCTAAACAAAAGCACATAAAAATAGACTATGGATTCAAACTTAGTTTCCGAACAATTGGATAAAATTTAACATATGTAAATGCCATGCCATAAAACTATTAGAGACTTTACGAATTAAAGGAACACTAAGATCACAAGATAATACAGCTGAACTCAAATTAGTCTCAAAAAGAGCAAGAGATAAGACTCAACAGAAGAAAAGGTACTTCAAAGACCATGAATATTAGTGAATGATTTAGAAAACTTGATGACAACAATGGCTTTTTGTGTTTTATAGTTTTTGATGCTTTAATCATTTTTTTAATGTTGGTTAAAGAACTTTACTCAAAGCACAGATAGTACTCAATACACTATACAACAGCCCAAGCAAATGCCTCATTATATAAACCCTAAGCCATAACAAAGGGCTCCAAATGTGGCCGTGACAATGCACACCAAAAGTAAGAACAGGGACACCATCCATGCGCAACATGGCTCTTTTAATACTCTAATACTTTATAGCTGTTGATGGAATCAGCCCCTCTGAGAACTACCACAGAGTTCAGGAAACCTGACTACCAGCCAGCCTCAAAACCATAAAACTGAGTTTTAGAACTGTACCCTCAATAGGAGAGAATAGAATGAGTTGCTAGTCATAAAAACAAAAACACAAGCAAAGTACATAAATTAAGAAGATCCATTCAAAATCCATTGAAAATAATGGCATAGATCTATTTATAAAAATAATTATAAATAGATCTATGCCAGCCTAATAGATGAAAAAAGGCACAAAGCTGGTCAACAGATAGAATCTTTTTACCCCTTATAAATATATATATATATATATATATATATATATATATATATATATATATATATATATATATATATATATATATATATATATATATATATATATATATATATATTAATATATATATATATATATATATATATATATATATATATATATATATATATATATATATATATTTATAAAAAACTCCGACTAACTCCGAGGGCTGCATTATTATTATAAAATATAAAATAACATAATTAAGAAAATAGAAATGAATTATGTAAAGGTAAGATAATAAAATATGAATAAATGCAAGACCATTACTTACTTTATCAAGTTGACAAAGTTGGGAAACAACTCTATCTTGTGTTTCATATCCACTTGTCAAATATTTATCAACATATGCTCCAGGACTAATTTGAACGCGAAGCAGACCATCGCGTGGCCAACTGCCATTTTTTAAATTTAAGCAACTTAGTTGAGACCCAACAAATGAATAATGAAGATAGAATAGTAAAGCATAAAGAAATAAACCCTATAAAAGTAATTAAAAAGTAGCATATTTATAAAGTGTATAAATATAATTAAAAAGATATTTAAAACACAAAATCTTGCTTTAGAAAAAAATTTTTTGTTTTCAAATAAAATGTGTAATAAAAATAAACTTAAATATTATTTTATTACTTTTGTTAATTTGCATAACTATAATAAATAACATACTCACCTTTATAAGAAAAAGCATTTCAATAAAAAATCGAAACTTTTTAGGTACAAGTAAAGAATAAAATGTTCCAATTTTGATAAACAATGCATGGTAAAGTCGGTCTCTTGGATTAATCAAACCCCGTGCTAAATTTTCTGTTCTTCTTCTTATTCTTTGAGCTTCAAGGTTATTACCAATATTATCAAAATGTGCAGAATTTCTAGCATTTGCATCCATACTTCAACTTAAAAACAAAAAACTTTGCTCAGATTTGCCCTCAATAGCAAATTTTGATTTTTGAAATTAGCAAATTTGACAGAAGCATTTTTTAATGCGATTTATTTTTTAAAAACCCTAAACTGAAAAATATACATAAGCATTTAAAAGTTCTAGTTATACTAAGTTTACTATACTAAGTTATACTAGTTATACTATACTAAGTTCCCAAAACAAGGGGGATATCAAGTTGACAACTATAATTCTTAAACACCTTAGTTATTTTTCAGATTTTTCAATAGATTTTTATAGCTTAGGCTTAATAAAATATTGGAAAACCTTATTCCTTTATAATTGGGCTAGTAAATGAGGAGGAAGAAAAAGTATCACACACACATAAATATATATATATATATATATATATATATATATATATATATATATATATATATATACATATATATATATATATATGCATATATACATATTATATATATATATATAAATAAATATATATATATATATATATATATACATATATATATATATATATATATATATATATATATATATATATATATATATAAAATATATATATATATATATATATTTATATATATACATATATATATATATATATATATATATATATATATATATATATATATATATATATATATATATATATATATATATATATATATATATATATATATATATATATATATATATATATATATATATATATATATATATATAGACATATAATATATATATATACATATATATATATATATATATGTATATATATATATATATATATGTGTATATATGTATATATATATATATATATATATATATATATATATATATATATGTATGTATGTATGTATGTATGTATGTATGTATATATATATATATATGCGGCATATTATACAAATATATGTATTATCTTTCGTCTTCCTGCTGATAAATGTGCTTCTTACATAACTTCGTGGATTCAGGTTGGCATGGAATCTTTTATTCCCTCTCGACGATTCCAGGTCAAGCCTCACTCTTCTCCTTGGTTTACTATATTAGTAAAGTTTGTGTTACTAGTGAACTGAGTAGGTGTTAATAAATAACTTACATTAAGCATAAATAAAACCATAGTTTAAACATGCCGTCTTATATATATATATATTATCCGGCAGCAGATACTATGGTCATATATAAAATATTTAGATAGTATTATATAAAGTAATTAATAACTACTATGTAATATATAATCAAATTGAGAAAAGTTCACTGTTTAGTATCAATGGATAACAATTTACAATAATAAGGTCATTGCATATTAATTATCCTTAATTTGCGCACAAATGCAAATGCGTAAAAAATTGTTTTAAAAAATAAAAATTTATTATATTAATTTATTATTTACCATTGATATCTAATTAAGTAGAATTAAGTTATTTGAAAATATATGACATACTTATATGACATAAATCTTTGAAATTAGACATTTGCCAATAAATAATTTGACCGTCAACGTTCTTTAAAAAAATAATGATTTGTTGAACTCTACGGTATTGGGAGAGCAATATATTATACAAATATATGTATGTATGTAATATTATACAAATATATGTATGTATGTATGTATGTATGTATATATATATATATATGCGGCAGTGGTGTAGTGGTAAGAGCGCTCGCTTTGTAAGCGAGAGGTTCGGAGTTCGACTCCCACCACGTCCCTGGAAGTACCGCGCTCAACTTAGTTTCTCCGCGCAGCGGCCTTGCTTGTCAAGGTTCGTGTTTCGGAGTTAAAGAGTTGAGAGAGGGTTGTACCACGAAATACAACAAAAAAAAAAATAAAAAACACAAAAAAATGAGTAGCCTCCTCGACTGTAGTGGCCCCCTCGGGCCTTGGGGAGGTGAATAATGTAAAAAAAAAAAAAAAAAAAAAAAATATATATATATATATATATATATATATATATATATATGTATATATATATACATATGTATATATATATATATATATATATATATATATATATATATATATTTAATTGTTGATAGGTATAGTATTTTGTTAAAAATACAGCTCTTCGTCTGCTTAAGAGTGATCAATATTTCTTTGTAAAATAGATCTAATTATATTTATATAATTTAAATGAAAAAAATACAACTTATGGAACTATTAGTTTCATGCCATTCAGCAATCATTCAGCCATATTATTCAAAATTTTGAATAATATGGCTGAATGAAATGGGAAATTCAAAATTGGGAAATTCATATTTTTGTTTTCAAAAATGGGACATTTCCAATAATGGGAATGCCCCACTTTTGGGTTCACATGCCAATGCGGCTTTGCATAAACAATGCTAGCTTTGTAATTTGCAGAATCTAGAATGATCATTTCACATTCTGCAAAATACTAAAAGCGAATTTTTTTGTTTTAGTTATTGAAAAATTGACATTATGGTTACACAATAGCTGAGAAGATATGCAATATTTGGTGAAAGCTGTGGTCTGCCACAAAATGTTCTACTAATTAACCTTCAAGGTTAGTTGGTAGAACATTTTGTGGATATTTTTACAATTGAAAGAAAGGCAATTGACTATTTCCTGCAAGTGTCCTAGAGAATGGAAAGTTCCACCAATAGAACAATTATTTTTACTGGATCAAAGAAACTCTTGTCAATCAGATTGTAAAGCCATTTAAAAAGGAAGCTAATGGATGTATATATATATATATGATGTATATATATATATAAGGATGTTAATGAAGAACAATTTTTGACATAAAGATCAGATGAAGCTGTGAAGTTGAGTTTTCGAGGGGTGGATAATAATTTTCAAGGGGTGGACTAAGACAGACTCAAGTGAAAAGGATAATGATAGTGAAGTGTATCTCAGTGACAGTGATTTCTGGCCATTGAGAAAGAAAGTGGCATTGGGTCTGATAAAGTGTCATCGACAAAACCAGGTGTTCTAAATCTTGTAAGGTGGTCGACACTGGCCAAAAGAGTTTGCTTATTGTATACTGCTACTCAGAACCCTACAGACAATCTTTGTGTGATCACACACTTTATAGTAAGCAACTATGGTCGAAACTGGTTTGTCAATAAGGTATCCCCCTGTGTACAGATGGTACAAAGCATTTTTACCAGGCAACTTAGCTTCTTTCCTGTGATACTGTTGCTATTATGAAGCAATACATAGTGAAAGTTCATACTTTGCTCATTGTGAAAACCTATTGCTTGCAATGTTAGCGGACTCAGATGAAGGTAAATTCTCCAGTTTTTAACATAATCCTGTGCTTCAACAATTGACATAATCCTTCAGTGTAGAAAAAAAGACAATGAAACCAACATTCGCCAGTTCTCAGTTCCTGCTATTAACTATGATGCAAATGACTGGGTGGAACTTATTGATTGGGTTAACACATCTGAGCCACCAGTCACTAGGAGCATATTATGCCATTGGAGCATTATGCGGTAGTGGTGTAGTAGTGGAGCGCTAGATTCATAAACGAGTGGTTCCGAGTTCGATTCTCACCATATCCCTGGTAGTACCGCGCTCAACTTGTTTCTCCGCACAGCAGCCTTGTTCGTCAAGGTTCGTGTTTCAGAGTTATAGAGTTGAGAGAGGGTTATAACCACAAATAAGTAGCCTCCTCGTCTGTAGTGGCCTTCTTCGCCTTGAGGAGGTGAATTTTAAAAAATATATATTAAATGAAAAAATTGGCCGGTTCAGAGGAATTCTACTTTTTTAATTTTTCCTATAAAATGTTAAGTTTATGTTGCTGTCTTTTTTTAAATTGTTCTAAAGACCAGAAAAAATTTTAAAAATTAAAAAAAAAAAATTTATCATTTGACTGCCCCAACCACACCCCTAGTTGATGTAGCAGCACTTCCTTGAAACACCAGGCTATAAGATAGTAAATATAGCAGCACTTCCTTATAGCAGCTAATATATTTAATTTCAAAATGCTTGAAAATGCCAAAACTGAATTGAGGGTGGAAAGCTTATTACTGCATTTAAAACAATCAATGCAGTTAGATACACACAGTTTGAGGTTTTTTCTCCTATAGCAATTTTGTATTTCCTTTTATAGTTTTTTTTTGTATAAATAAAAACAACTTTAGTATAAAACAAACAAATATTCAGTTTTATTTAGAATATTGTTAAAAATATTAAACTGACTATACTTTCTTGGACTAAATTTTGTTACTACTTTTAAAATTTTAAGAAAGTCACTGGGCACCTGCTCAATTTTTCAATAATAACTTAACTAACATTTACTCTAATGTAATTTTGTCTTTTGGTTCTCTTTTTTTTATTTTGACAATATAACATTGATGTCAATCTTGTTATAGGTTTCAAGAGGAAACTCTGAAATTGGACATCAAATATGCAGCTAAAATAATAAAAAATCGTATTTATTCAATTGCAATACACCCTTTATGTGATAAAATCTTAGCATATGCTGGCGACAAGTCAGGAAATGTTGGGATTTGGGACCTGGTATAAATATTTTGTTTTTTTTGTTCTAGGACCTGTTTTTTTTTTTTTTTTGTTTTTGTTTTTAATAAGAAATTAAGAATAATAACTCTCATAAAAATATCAACAATGCAATAAGATATTTTTGGCTGTATGTATTCTGTCAACTAACTGGACTTTTGGGTCTAGTTGCAAAGTTTTACAAAAAAGCCGGTATAAAAAAAAACTAAAAAAAGTACAAAAACTTTTTGAAAAACATTTTGATACTATGTCTAGGGTGGCCATTCAAACAACTTTTTTTTTTTAATGTTTGCTCTCATCTTTTAAATGTGTTCTTTATAATAAAATAACACTGTAATAAAATAATTCTTGAAAAAAAAGATTTTTAAACATCAGACGGGTTCCTATACTTATTTTTAAAAAGTTCTTTAAAATTAAATCATGTTGGGTCTCCAAAGATGCAAAATTATATAAAAATTTCAAAAATAATTATCATCTTATAAGAAGCATTGTAAAAAAAATAATACATTTTTTTCTTTAAATGTGCTATTTTTATTTTTAGTTTAAAAATGTCATTTTCTAGCCAGTAAAATCTAAAATAATATAATTTTTTTTTAAATGATGATTATTTTTGAAAATTTTTAAACCAACA